CGCCCACCCACATGCGACTCCGCAAATTTAAATTCAGCCTCTCCGTACGTACAGCCCGTAAAAATTTGGGCGAGTAAAATTATTGTCACGGAAACTGCGAAAGCTAGAAGGCTGAAATTTTGTGGGCATGACCCTTCACCCATGTGCCATCCAGAAAATTTAAATTCAGTTTTCCCCTGCCCCCAGGTAACATGTACGGCCCCATGAAAATTTTTGACGGGAACCACAGAATCTAGGAAGCTGAAATTTTAGGGTAATGACCCCCTCCCACGAATAATCTTGCAAATTCAAATTCAGCGTCCCCGCGTTCTCGCGTCTCATCTACGGGCCAGCAGAATTATTGCGGGTAAATTATCTCAGGAACCACAAAGTCTGCGAAGTTAAAATTTTAGGGGTTAATGACCCCTCACCCACGTACTACCTTACAAATTCAAATTCAACGTTCCCGTGCTTCTGGGTATCACTTTCGGCCTCGTGAAAATTTTGGTGGGTACACTATTATCTCAGGAATTACAAAAAGATATTTACCCTTCAAGGTTTCAAATGGCAGAGCAGTGAAAGTCATTAGCAGGCAATCGTTTGGTGGGCCGAACTGCACAAAACGCATGATCGCGCACCGGCTAGTCTGATGCGCGTTGCTATATTTACACTTTTATGCTACAGTATACCACTTTGTGCAGATGGATAAAAGTCCATGTACAAGAGCAGCAACAGCAGATGTGCGGAAGGGGATGAGGATGAGACAAGCTGGGGAAGTCTGGGCGTGCGAAAGAACCTCTGAATGATGGGCTAAGGGGGCGAAGGTCAGCTCAGATCTGAGGTCAAACTACTGGGTCCCTTTATAAATAACAACCACAGAAAAAGAAAGAGCAAGGATATGTTGCACAACAACAATTCTGGACCTCACTGCATCACAAGTGCACAGGATATTGCTAAGCTATCATATCCATGTTCTTCATCCGCTTAGTTTTCATTGCGCTGAAGATCTATGGCTCAGTGATTTCGCATCCCTCCGCGAGCAGCACTTTTGGCTTTTCTGCCATACGCATAATGTCATTTTTGTACAATAAACACTGCAAACGCGGCCCACCTAAGTTTGAAACGATTATGAGGGGAAGCAAAAATGAAACGATTATGAGGTTTTGAACGCTCAGGACTAGAATAAGAAGACACTGGGAGAAAAGGGAATCTAGTAGAAAGCGTACCGAGTGCCGGTACGAGGATGCGTTTTTTGCGCAGTTCCCCCCGCAGGTTT